CATGCTCCTTCCACCCCTCCCCCCATACCTGCTGCAGCATGCTCCTCCCCCCCCCTGCTCCGTACCTGCTGCAGCACGTTGCGCTCCCGCAGCGCCATCAGCCTCCGGTGCAGCTCCACCAACTCATCTGTGTAGGCCTGGGGGCGCAGAGGGTCACCAGGGCTGCCCCCAGGCCAAGCCCACCTCCAACCCTTATGCGGCCCATGCCAGCAAAGCACAGGCACCCCCGCTGAAGACGGCCACCTCTAGGGACCGAGGGCCTCACCCAGCCACCGCCGGCTGTACCTTGTCATAGGTGCCCTTCTTCAGGATCTTCTCTGGCTTGCTGCACGGCTCAGGGCTCCTCCGGCCTGGTGCCTGTGGGGCCCCAGGGGGCTCTGAGCTCTGGCCCATGCCTCTCCAGCACCCCACAACCCCCAAGCCCTCTCCAAGGTGGCCCGGGCCTCCCTGTGCTGCACCCTTGCCCCGGCTCCGGCTCACCTTGCTGCTGGGCGGGGGTGGCTTCTGGGGGGGAGGGGGCTCGCGGCCGGGCAGGCAGGAGTCGGCACTGTTGTCGCTCTCGCTGTCGCTGAAGCTCAGCCTGTACACCAGACAGGCCGGGGGGAGGGGGAGGGGGGTCAGGCTCCGTGACCCCAAGGCAGAGCCCATGGGCCCCACGTACTAAGCTGGGCCCTTCCAGGAGCGCGGGGCATGGGGGCCGCAAGCTGGGCTGGGCTGCCGTGGCCAGGCGGGTGTGCGCCCCGGACAGCCCACTCAGCAGGCCCTGCGGCCCCCAGCACTCAGGTGTGGAGAGTCGCCAGCCGACCCACATGGGAGTGAACGCGGCTTTGCTGCTTTAGCTGCGTGGAGGCTGGGGCTGCCTATGGAGAACCGCACCTCCTCACACTTCCCGGGCTGCGCTGGGCTGCGCTGCCACTGCCCTGCGACCCTGCACAGCCTGTAAGGCGGGTCAGCCACGCCGGCGCTCAGTCACAGGGACCCCCAAGGAAGGGTGCGCGTGGCGTGGTGGGCAGGACGGGGGTGAGCCGGCAGTGGTGGACGGTCCCTGGCGGGGTGGTGGGGGGGCAGGAGCGGCTTCTCCCAGCTCTCCAGATCCCCGGCACAGCGAGGGCGCAGGAGGAAGCCACACACTGTCTTGGGGTCCCACACGCCCCGGCAGGCTCTGCCCGGGGCCTTTGCTGTCAGGGATGCAGACGTGAGGCTCGAGTCCCAACAGCCAGCAGCTGCACAGCCCCGAGGCAAACGAGTGGTGGCTGCCACGAGTCACTACTGCACGGGGCCGTGCGCTCCCCCCAACCCTGGTGTGCCCCCCACATGCCCGCAATCAGCAGGCAGCTGCTATGGGCCCCGCATGGGCGTCTGTTGGCCTCTCATCTCTGCTCACAAGCAAAAGCCACCCTCAACGTCACCCCTGCCCGTCCTGCGGCACGGCGGTCCTCCCATGGCCGCGCCTGCCCCTTCTCAAGACCAGAGGAGGCCTGGCACGTGGCACGGCACAGGTTGGGCCTGTGCTTTCCGTGGGTAAGCGCACAGCTGGCTCTGGCACCCGTGAAGCACCCTGTGACCCGCTTCACAGGCTGGCCCGGCCTCCCGCCAGGGCTCACTTGGCCCGGCCTGTGTGTGCGCAAAGGGAGGCTGCAGAGCCCACCACAGTTCTGTTGGGCATTGTCCCCTCTGCCCAGGCTAAGTACAATGCGCCCCCCCCGCTCCCCCGCAGGTTTCCACCTTCTCCCTCGAGGTGGCCAGGCATGGCCACTAGACAGACCCAGGGAGGGAAGGGCAGCCCCCTCAGGGCCAGTCAGTTAGTGGCCGATGCCCAGCGGGTGCAGGTGTTCCTGCCGGGGACCTGACCCCTCGCAGCCCCGGCCCTCTTCCAGCCCTGCAGTCACCTGGAGTCGCGGCCTGGGTTGGCCTTGACGGGGGCCTCCTCTCCAGATGAAGAGTCGTCCTCATCCGACTCCTCAGACTGCAGGTCCTCCACCATGGAGCGCAGGGGCCCTGGGGAAGACAGGGGGCTCAGGCCTCCAGGGCCAGCACCCCTAGGGTGTCCTGACACTGCCACACCCCCCCAACGCACAAACCCACCCGCGCCCTCAGCCTCCCCTTCCCCTCTGGCTCTTTCCCTCCCTACCTTCCTGGCCCTCCTGGCAGGCTGCGGGCCCCGGACCCGCAGAGAGTGCACAGGGCCCCTCCATCTTGGAAGCCGAAGGATCGCTGAGCGGAGGCTCCAGAGCTCAGGCCACCCCAGCGCTTGCCAGGGAGGGGGCCGAAGCCAGAGTAGGGGCTCGCGGCTCCTGGTGGGGACCTCAGGTCCCCCCACCCTGCCCGCCCGGCCCCTCGGTAGCCTCGTCTGCTGCTCCCAGCCTCCCGTCCGCCCCTTTCTCCGGAGGCACCGGTTCCAGTCCCCCACAGACGGCATCTTGGTTTATATTCCTGTTGCCAAGGCAACAAAGGGACACAAAGCCCTCAATTACCTTGGTCACATGACGCCGCTTCAGTGGCCTCCCTCCCTCCCCAGCCCACAAGGCTGAGTGGGCTTTGAGGACCCCTCCCCCCGGCCAGACCTCCGCATGCTCGCCACTGCAGCCCCCTAGAAGATTCCTGCGTGGGGGAGGGGCGGCTGCGGGCTGCTCTGGGCTCCCGCTGCTCTTGAGCCCGTGTCCAGCAAGCTGCCCAGCCCCCAGGCTCCCACCCAGGGCCGGCTGGCACAGCCAAGCTGGACCTATGCCCCGTCTCCAAAAAGCCCCCTGGTGGCCGGCAGGACAGGGCAGCTAAGCAGGTGCGGTGGCCTGGCTTTTACGCTAGCCAAGTAGCAGCCACTCAGGTAGCAGAACAGAACACCTGGGCCCAGCCCACAGAGCAGAGGCGCCTTGGACAGGAGCCAGGCAGCAGCTGCTCATACCCCGGCCCTGAGGGAGGTGCGGGGCCCAGGGGTGGGGGTGGGGGGCATTCTGGCAGCATAGGCCCCAGCGGGGCTGCCACACTGGTGCCTTGGCTGAAAGTCTGTCTGGATTTGAGCATGGCCCTCCCCCACCCCCATGCCGTCAGCCACCGGTGCTCAGGCTCTTGGACCACACAGTAGCCCGCGGACTCAGGGCGAGTTGTGTCCGGCCACACTGGCTGGGCAGCCTCCAGGGCTGTCCCCAGCCCAGCAGGGCGGCCTGGCCCCTCCTTACACACCTTGGCTGTGGTTCTGAGATGGCTCGAAATCCGAGTCAGAGCTGGAGTCTGAGCTGGAGCTGGAGTTGGACGGGCTCGACTGGGCAGACTTCACCCCGTGGCAGGGCAGAAAAGAAAGAAAGAGGAAGGAACGGTCATCTTTCAGGCCAGGAGAGGAGCAGGGCACACGGGTGCGTGGGCAGGGAGGACGCTGACCCCAGTAGGTGGCAGGTTTGTACTCAAGCGCACTGAGCTTCCTGACCGCCCAGCCCGGGCACAGGGACCGCAGCTTCCTGCAGGAGCAGGGGCTGGCCCAGCGCTGGCCAGGGAAGCAAGCCCAGCAGGAAGGCTGGCCCACAGGTTGTTTCTCATTCAGACCCCCACACCAGCCTGGGGCTCAAGGACAAAAGCAAAAGCCTCAGATCCCACCTGGCCTGGACCCACCTGGCTTTCCAGGAGTGGGTGAGCACTGTGCTGACCTGTGTGGCCTCTTTCTGGGGCCCTGTGCTCTGACTCGGCCACCAGGGGGCAGTACAAGACCAAACAAGCGCACGATGGGAGTGGAGGTGTGGGCTGCAAAGGAGAAGGGCTCATCTCCACCTAAGCTTGTGCAGTTCCAGGGCTGACCACAGGGGGGCACCTGCCCCAAATCTGGGTTTCTGCCACCATTGTAGTAGATGTAGGTGTAGATGGCAGAAGAGGGGCAGGCGGGTCCACACAGACTCCTGAAAGGTCCAGTTTGAGTCTGCAGAGCAGAGGAACTTAAGGCTCTGGCAAGAGCTCCTCAGACTGCCCGGCCTGTCCTCAGGCAGACCCCCACCTAAGGTGGGGTGTCCAGTGACACTACGTGGGGCTTGAACTCATGACCTGAGCTAGTGTGCTCAAGGCTAATGCTCTACCACTTGACCCACAGCACCATTTTCTGCTTTGTGGTAGCCAACTGGAGTTACAAGTCTCATGAACTGCCCGGGCTGGCTTCCAACTGTGATCTTCAGATCTCAGCCTCCTCAGTAGCTAAGATGGCAGGTGTGAGCCAGAGGCACTCAGCCGGGGAGACTTTGCACACCCTGCCCTCCCGTCTTTTTTAGGGGGAGGTCAGAACAGGTGGTGAATAAAGATGGTTCAGTTTCCTCACCAACTTGGTCTAGCTACCCAGATAAGGACAGCTATCACCTTTAAGCCTCAGTTTCCCCACGTATCCAGGAAACCACCTGGCTTCTCTGAGCCAGTGTACCATTCTTAGCCACACTCCCAACAAGACAGGGCAGTGTAAGGATCAGCACGGCCTGCTTCTTGCCTGGCTTAGGACACCCCAGGGTGCAGGGAATGCTCAAAGCCATGAGGCTCCCCCCCTCCCCATGTGTGCTGTGTGTGGTGAATGAGGACAAGCCCTCAGTCATGCTGCACTTCTGTGCAGAGCTAGTGGCAGGGGAGACAGGAATCTAGAATGGGTTTCAGCTGGAAAGGTCTAGAGGCATGCTCACAATCCTGTGGTGGGGGGGGGGGGGACAGGACTAGCTGATGTAGAAACTCTAAGGCCAAGGAGACTCCAAAGCAGCTCCTGGAGGACTGGGGGGGGGGGGGGAAGGGGGAGGTGCACAGGGCTGAGCCACACTGGTGCAGGCCAGGCTGGAGGGCCCAGGGAGCAGCCACACAGCGGGGGCCCTTCAGGGACGTCTGCAGGACCGAAGCCCAGCGTTGGGGAGGCCTGAGCCCAGCCTGGCTGCTGCTGGAGGCTCAGAGCTCCCATTCTTCATCAGAAGCTGCCCAGTACATGGGGAATAAATACATGGGGTGCTTATCAGCCAGGAAGCAAGCACACACCCACTTTCTGGGGCTCCTCCAGCCTCGGGACCAGGACATCCACCCCTATACGTCCCTGATGGCAGCGTAGAAACTGGGCACAGCTGCCCATGTGCCATGTCCCGGCACACCCTGGGAACTGCCAGCGCCTCTCCCTGGCCTGGGCAGTCACACCTGTCCAGAGCTGCGGCCAGCAGACGCTGTGCCAAGGAGATGCCTACAGAACCTCCAGGGCCATGAGGAGGCCCGGGACACGGGAGCGACACTGACAGGCAAGTCTCCACAGCATGGGGTGTGAGGAGCTGCCCCCGGGCCCTGCCGGACCCAGGTGCCCGTGGAGTGGGGTCACACCCCACAGTGGGCTGGGGGCCTCCCCGCGGCACAGTTAGAGGGGAGGTGAACTGTGGACAGAGAGCACCTTGTTCCGCCTGGGGAACCTGCAGGTGCGGCTCTGCCGAAGGGCCATTCGCCCTGACCTTCTCCACGGCTCTGTGAGCAGCAGCCGGCAGAGGAGCTCTGTCCCCGCCGGGGCCTCACAGGAGGCCCCACAGCGGGTCACGGGTCGGTCATCTCTGTCTGTCCTGTGGGCATCTTCAGAGATGCCTGGCTGGTAGGATGTTCTCTCACCAGCTCCCTGGGGGGGTGGGTGCACCTGTCACCACCAGCAGGTGCCCAGACAGTGACAGCAGGGTGCACCTGCTTGGGAACACCCAGTTAGCAGAGGTGGCTTCATGGGGCCACGTGCGGGCCAAGGAAGGCGCACTGCTGACACACAGCTGCCTGCCCAGCAGGAAGGACTGAGCCAGGCGCTGCTGGCTCATGTCTGTAATACTAAGCAGGAGGCTGAGATCTGAGGACACCAAGCAGGAAAGTGAAATTTTATCTACAACTAATCAGCAAAAAGCCACAAGTGGAGCTGGGGCTCAAGTGGTAGAGTGAAAGAGCTCAGGGACAGCGCCCAGGCTCTGAGTTTGCACCCTACACGCTCAAAGGAGGAAGGACTTCTTTTCAACACACAGAAGGGAAACTGAGGCTCAGCAAGGTGTACAGCATTGGACAATATGACAAATGGGCACCAGAGAACACTCTGGCCTTGGGCTCCAGCCCCTCCTCCTGCATTTCACCTTCAAGAGCTCAGCTTAGAAAGGAAAAGACTGAAGCCAGGCGCCGGTGGCTCACACCTGTAATCCTAGCTACTGAGGAGGCTGAGATCTGAGGATCACAGTTCAAAGCCAGCCTGGGCAGGAAAGGTCGTGAGACTCTTCTCTCCAACAAACCACTAGAAAACCGGAAGTGGCGCTGTGGCTCAAGCGGTAGAGCATTCATTCGCCTTGAGCTGAAGAGCTCAGGGATAGCACCCAAGCCCAGAGTTCAAGCCCCATGACTGGAAAGAAAAAGAAGGGAAAAGACCGGAAGTGGCGCTATGGTTCAAGTGGTAGAGCGCTCTCCTTGAGCTGAAGAGCTGAGGGACAGCGCCCAGGCCCAGAGTTCAGGTCCCACGACTGACCAAAAAAAAAAAAAAAAAAAGGGAAAGGCCCCCCCCCCCCCCCCCCGGGGCCCCCCCCCCCCCCCCGGGGCCCCCGGGGGGGGGGGGGGGGGGTGCACTCACCTCTGACTTGAAGGAGGCCTCATCCTCAGAGTTGGACTCCTCTGCTTCCAGCGCCTTCCTGGGCTCCCGCGGCTCACTTTCTGCCTTCACCTTCTCCCCCCGGCTGCTCTTGTCCTTGGCTGGCTTCTTGTCTGGGAAGGAGGAGGACGCAGCCCGGGGTGAGGTGCTGGGGGCACTCCGAGAGCCCTTTGAGCTGCTCTTCTTCTGCTTTTTGGCGCTGGGCTTCGGTGAGTCCGCGGTGGCTGGCCGCTTGCTGGAGGCTTTGGGCAGGGCGGCGGGCTGGGGCGCCCCCTTGGGGGACATGCTCTCCAGCTTGGTCTCCTTCAGGGCCATCTTGGGCTCCTTGAACGCGGCCTTGGGCGGCGCAGCCTTCTCCTCCTTGGGCAGCCGGCCCTCGCCCAGCTTGCGGGCGGCGTCCTTGGAGCTCTTGGCCTGCTCGCGATCGAGCTCCTTGGAGGAGCTCTTGCTCTCCGAGTCCTTGCGGGGCCTCTCACGGTGCTCCTTGGCCACCTTGTGCGGCTTGGAGGCCTTGCCGCTTTCCTTGTTGGCGTCCTGCAGGGCCAAGGGCAGGGAGGGTGAAGAGCCAGTCAGCCACCAGCTCGCGGCCACCAGCTCAGGACCGCCTGGCTCTGCCACCCCCGGCCCCGTAAAGTGTGATCCATCTGATTGAGTCGGCTAAAGGCAATCTTCATAAAGCAGACAGGGCAGGCAGCTGTCCCTCTGAACTAGTGGCGGCAGGTCCCGGGCTGTGGCAGGACTGAGGTGACTGCCTGGAGGCGCTCACAAGCCACACGGAGCCAGGGGAGCCAGGCAGAGCGGGAGCCAGGGCCGCGAGGGCGCCCCAGCAATGCGCGCAGCTGCCTCGGCTGGGCCTGGCACACCCCGTGCCCTCCTCCACTTGTCTCCGGCTCCAGTCCTCAGTGTGCTCTGCCTGACTTCCTCTCTGGACCCTGCTGACCTGCAGGCCTCCCCATCCCAGCTGCACAGCCTTGCCCTGGCCCTGACTCCAGGCACAGCCCAGAAGAGCTGTTTGTCTCATCCAGATGTGCTCCATCAAGCAAGCGAGCGAGCAGCTACTGCGGCCCGAGCTATCACACAGAGCCAACAGCTCCCCGGCTGGGGGTGCTGATGTGGCCCTGGCGGCTCTTACACGTGTGTCTGCCTGGGAAATGCAGAGGCCAAGGGTGAGGGTCAGCCAGGCCTGATGCTCCCACTGGGGACAGAGGAGGAATACAGATGGCGAGCAATCCTGTCCTGATCTGGGGACGGTCTCCAAGGCAGGGGGCTCCAGCTGTCAGCACCCGTGTCCTCTGGATATGGGGAGGGGGAGCTCTGGAGCCCAGGGAGCTCAGTCAAGGACTCTAAGGCCTGTGCAGCCAGCATGGCCCCGGGTCCGCGCTCCTCTACCTATACTGTCTGCCTTGGCACTGTCTGGTACCCCACCAGGCTCCTTTCAGACTGGCATCTGTCTCTCATAGCAACACCCACAGTCACTGCACATACCCAAGGGTGGTTCTGCTGCAAAGTGCCGGACGTCAGCCCTCACTTGGAAAATGCACCCATTAGCCAGGTGCTCACAAGCCCCAAGCTCACCAGACAAGAGTTCTTTGGGCGAGACTACAGCGGCCAGACCCAGGAGCACCCCTCGTGCCTGGGCGTGGGCTCTCAGGGGCCAGCACCATGGAGGAAGGAGGCAGATACACAGAGGACAAGCTGACCAGGTAAGCACCGAGCACCAGAGGGACCGCCGGCCGCCTGCTCTCAGACCTGCCCAGTTGCTGTCTTCTCCCAAACACACCACCTACACTGGTGTCAAAGGTCAGGCCAGTGCCCCTAAGAAGGGCAGGCCCTGGGCCCAGTGGCTGTCGTGTCTGGGCAGCGGGTCCCCCTGGTGCTGGCACACAGAGGGGATCCACTCTCTAGAGAGGGGGCCAGGAAGCCACAGGCCATTCTGGCCCTTTGAGCAGTGGACAGGCCTGCCAGGCTGCACAGATAGAGACTGAGTCCCTAGGGTCTCCCAAATGCTGCCCTTTGGAGGGTCACCCTGCCCAATGGGGGGCGGGGGGCCTCTCTGCAATCCACTGATCTGGAAAGAACACCATCATGTTCTCAAGGTCGCCCATGGCATGAGGCAGTTACGAACAGAGGTTTTCTCCTGCCTGACACCTGACTGGTGACACGGAGCCCCTGAAGCTGGGGCAAGCAGGTGTGTCTGAAGTGCTGTGTCAGCACAGGCTGACAGGTGGTTCCAGCGTAGCCCTCCCCTGTACCCGGCAAGCAGGCACACCATCATATTGTAGATGCTACGGCGTCTACAGTCACAGTAGCTGTAGACCTACGGTACCCGGCCTGTGGGTTCTCATGCTGAGGCCTCAGGGGACCCCTTTACCCTTGCATTTGGCTGGTCACTTGGCTCCCAGGGCCTGGCCAGCGAACAGCCAGCACTCAAGCAAAAAGATGTGACGCGGTGCCTGGGCTCAGGCCCACAGACGGCATGGTGACACTGACCGTGCACAGACCTGACTCTGTGGCAAGGCTGTCTACAGAGAGGCATCTGGACATGACTCCATGCTGCTGGGGACCTCACTGAGAGGCAGACGGCAGGTCCAAGGGACCTGCAACCCTCCTGAGCAGACATCACCTGGAACTGCAGATCTGAGGTACAGCAAGAGAAACAACCTGAAGACACAACCCTCCAGCTGCCAGGTGTCCCAGGTACCCAAGAGGCTTGAGGGGACCTTCCCGGCACTCACACATAAGAAACACAAACACAGTAGGGTGCTGGTGGTTCACACCTGTCATCCAGCCCAGGCAGCAAAGTCTGTGAAACTCATTTCCAATGAACCACCAGAAAACCGCAAGTGGAGCTGTGGCTCAAAGTGGTAGAGCACTAGCCTTGAGCAAAAGAGCTCAGGGACAGTACCTAGGCCCTTAGTTCAAGCCCCAAGAACAAGAACAACAAAAACAAACAAAAAGTAGAAACACTTCTTTCGCAAAGAGCAGTGGCGGCTGGGAGGAAGTCCCCTAAGAGCCCTAATGAGGCCTGGCCTTTCCTCTAATCACCAGGCCTGGCACGGGGAGACTTCCTCCATACAGAAAGAGCCAGAAGGACTGACCTGGTGATGGGGCTGCACCACCAACATTGCTCCTGGGCAAGACCGGGAGCTGGCCTGACCGCTCTACCTGTCCTTTGTGGGGTATTCAGACCAACAGTACCCCACAGGCCAGAGAAGAAGAGTGCAGAGATGCGGGTGAACCCCTGTGCAAGGCCTGCTGTGGGGCAGGATGCTGCGACGTCTCACCACCAACCGTCGGCAAGAGGCCTCAGGAGGGCCATAGAGATGCTAAAGCAGGTCTTCCTCGGCCGTGCAGCTCTGCCCTGCACCCTGCCCTGACCACGAGGAACAGCGGAGGCAGGAGCAGCCTGGTTCTGGCTCTGGAGCCCCAGACAGTGGGCCACGTGGGTGATGAGAATGCAATGGGCAGCAATGGCCCACCATGAGCAGTCCCGAGACCGAGTGGGCTCAGCAGTAGGGAGGAGAGGGAGGTCCTGGAGGGCCCCTGGCCTCAAGAGGAAGGGGGTGAAGAGCCCAGGGTGCTGTGCCCTACCCTGCGATGCTAAGGAAGCGACAGTGGCAGCGAGACGAGCAGTGTGCTCAGGGAGCAGGTGCGGGAGGGCGAGGGCCAGCTGTACAAGACCTAGTCGGCAGAGGCGGGTGCTGGCCCGGGATGCGGCAGCTGGGCCCAGCGCCCCCTCGTGACTGGCCTTCCAGCTCACTAACCTTGGAGCCGTGGGACGGTTTGGTCTTCTTGGGGTCAGAGAAGGCAGAGAGTGGAATTGTGGGTAACATGGGGTAGTCGGGGCTGGGCCTGGACACCGTTTCTGCTCCTTCGGGCATTACCATCACCTAGTGATAAAGAAGAGACAGACGTTATCAACGAGCAAGGTGGGGGGGAGGCTGCCAAGAAAGGCCATGGAACTGGCTTCCTGGGGGAAGGGAAAGAAAGAGAGCTAGAGCCCCATTCCCCAAAGAAACTGCAGGTATTTCTCCACGGACTGAGTGCCAAGTGCTGGACCGAAGCCAGTTCAGTGGTCGAGATGAAGAAATCCAGGGTCCCAGGATGGCTGGGCCCAGGATGGCTGCTGGCCAGCAGATGGGAAGGCGGCCAGGAAGACCCGCAGAGGAGCGTGCAGAGCGGCACGAGAAGGCAGCTGTGCCAAGGCCTGCACTGAGCACCCAGGCTGAGCGCGCTGGAGGCACAGCTGGGGAAGGCAGAAGCCAGCCAGCCAGGGTGGCAGGTGGCCATGCAGCAGACGGAGCGGCTGAGAGGGCACAGAGGGCCACGCCGGCGGGTCCCACGTGCCACTTGCGGACAGCTGAAGCCAACTGGAGTGGAGCACTCGCAGCAAGGCTGAGGCCAGAACAGAGGCCAGGACGAAGCGGGAGGAGCCCTGCTGGGGAGGGACAGCCATGGTGGGAGAAGAGAAAGAAGGCTGCAGATGGCAAGGGCCAGGGCCTTCTAGGAAACACCTGCTGTGCGGGGACAAGGCCAGGGCCAGCTCTCCACGACACTGCGGTTCACCAGTTTACAGCGCACAGAGGGCTTCAGGCGGTGTGAGACAGAGCACAGGCGCTGCAGCTCCCCAGAAGAGGACTGAACTCAGCAGAAGCAGGCCACACACCACCTCGAGCACCTGGGATTCCCCACCAAGCCAAAGCTTTCATCTGAGAGCACTGACGTCACGAGTCATGGGACACGGGGCTGTCCGAGCTGTGACCTGCTCACTGGGGCCTGTTTGACCACACAACACTGAGGCATGGCACTGCCCAAGCCCCTGCCTTGCTAGTGCCAGTTCCTGAAGACGGTTCCTGAGAGCCTCTGTGCCTCAGGGCTGATGACGCCACGCACACTCGGCTTTATGGAGAGGGATGCAAGCCCAGCCCAAGGCCGGGCTGGCTCCCAGAGGCTGGGGCTGGGGCTGGGGCACGCGGGCCTGTTGCTGCAGCTCCTGCTTTGACTCACCTTCCCCCTTCAAACTCATTAGCCAGCCTGAGCCTTCCAGGGAGGGCATCCTCTTCCTGGGAGAGATGCCCAACGCAGGGAGAGGGGGCAGCAGGGGCGCCCCGCCCCCAGCAGAGGACAGCAAATAGCTGTGGGTGAGGGCAGCAGGGAATCCCACTCTGGCGAATCCCACTCCCGAGGATGGTGTGTTCCAGAACTCCAGAGACCTCAGCAAACCAAGAGATGGCAACTCTGAGGGGCCCAGAGCTCAGTGCCCGCCTCCAGTTCTCCCAGCTCTAGCAAAACACAGGTGAGGCGGGCACAGAGGCTGTCCCCCAGGATGCCAGCACAGGGACACAGTTACCTGGTCCTAGGAGTCACCTGGGAGAGCCACAACCAGGAGGCTGCTAAAGCTATCCAGTGGGCTTTCTGGAGGGGGGGGCATTGCTGGCCAGCCTGGCCCCTCCTTTCCTTCCTCCCACTCACTCCCAGGTCATGGATTAGGTGATGCTCTCACAGCCTCATCTCTAGGGCACAGAAGATGCCACCCACGAGAGCCAGAAGACCTGGGAAGACCTGGAGACACCTGCTGCATCCCAAAGAACTGTTGACTATGGAGCCCTTGGGAGCACCCACAAACACCTGCAGAGACAGAGAGGATAACACAGGGCCACAAAAAGAAGGCGTAGAGCAGAAAGAGGGGAGGCCTCTGGGAGGCCCCCCATCCTGCTCCAGGGCAACACAGAGCCACGGCACAGTGATCCCCACTGCAAGCGTGAGCACGCAGGACGGGCACATGCATGCAGGACGGGGCTCCATACCCTCAACTCTCTGCTCTGAACATCACCTTATACAGAAACTGCTACAAGACTGCTCAAAGATCACTGTGCACAATGAAGAGAAGGGGCTGTGCCCTGAGTGTCCCGGACACCCCTAGGCCTGCCCCGGCAGCGTGCACCGCCCCATCGTCACACGCCCTCCACCTCAGCGCCCCCAGACTGTACACTTCACACGTGACCCACGCCCAACTTTCCTGGCACAGTGGGCACCACAATGTGCCCAATGACCTCAGCCAGAGCACTGGCAGCGACCAGACAGGCTAGGAGTAGCAGGCAGCTCGGGGGAGCCCTGCCATGACAGTGAAGGGCTGCCCAGGCCTGGCCATGTGGACAGAACACAGGGCCCATCCTCCCTGCCATGTGCAGGAGCGGCAGGGTACACAGGGCCCGGCTCCCGGCCAGCCAGCGCCACACTCACCCCGCCAGCCATCAGGAGCTTGTACCGGAACTCGGTGGTGGGGTTGTTGAAGGTGAGCTTCTCACAGCGCAGGTGGTTCACAGGGGGGTTGCCCTCCAGGTTCAGGAACAGGTCGTAGGTGAAGCAAACCTTCCTGGGCTCCTCCTTGAGCAAAGACAACAAGGAAATCCGCGTTGGGGGTGGGTGGAGGCTGGGCTGTGGCGCTCCTGCCCCTGCCTCCACCTGTCCCCAGATCCTCAGCTGTTCTGTCACTCAGAATAAATGAACTTACTACCTGCAGCAGAAGGGCAAAAGCAGGCGCCCCTAGAAGATGTCATTTGTCACAATGCCCAGATGCTCACCAGTCCCCCTGCCACAATGTGTGGAGCCTGCCCGCCTCCTTGTCAGCCCTCATGGCACAGGCAAAGGGGAAGTCGAGGCTCACAAACACCTGACCCCTCAGAGGTGGTGTGGGCCCAGCCCACACTCAGGTGGCGAGAGCTTGTGGCAGGTTTCCGTGCTAGCACTACCCGCAGGCCACACGACCATTCCAGTCATTGGCACAGAGCAGGACCAGGCACTTGTGGGACAAGAGCCCCCAGGGAGGAGAGGAGTGAAAATCCAAACCACCACGACACACAGGCACGCGTGTGCGCACACACACACACAAATGCATGTACGTGTGTGCATGTGTGCAGAACCTGTGCAGAACATAGGGAAGGGAAGGGGCCAGACACAGCAGGAGTCTTCACACGGATGGTCCAGCACAGATGGATGCTGGGAGGGGGGCACAGGAAGTGACTGAGGCTGGGGACCAGCTTTCCTTCTGGGGTGATGGCCTATGCACTGGGAGTTAAAACTGATGCCTGCAGCTCAGTGTGAGTGTGCACACCCACTGGATGTGCTCACTAGAAAGGGTGAATAAGTGTGCAAACTACATCCCAGTCTGTTCAGAGGCTATAAGCCCAGAGAGAAAAACACTGTGGAGGAATTCAGGACTGGTAGGCTTGTAGACACAAGTTCAGTGGGAGGCAAGGAGAGGAGGAAGCCCCAACCCTGCAGGGCTAGGAGGAGTCCCTGGAGGCAGTGTCCCTGGAGGCTGGGTTGGTCAGGCTGTAAAGGGCTGGGACAGGCCAGCAAAGAGCACAGCAGGAGGAGGTGAGGGCAGTGTCCTTGTCAGGAGCCCCAAGGCCCCACTGTGGCCAGGACTGGAAGAGGAGGGTGGGGAAGGGGGACCTGGCACTGAGAGGGGCCAAAGGGCTTGGCATGGGGCTCTGTGACCTGGCAGGCCAGGAAGGAAGGGCAGGGCAGGTGGATGTGAGCCAGAGAAGCCTGGAGCAGGAGGAAGCTGTCCCTTGGGGGACTGCTGACTCTGACTGGTCACTTGCCAGCACCACAGATACCACCACCCTGTGCAGGCTCCAGACACAGCTCCCAGCACACAGGAAAATGCAGCTCCGGAGGGCATTGGGGGTCCCCGGGCAACAGAGGGAGCATCATCCAGGTGGCCTCAAACTGCAGGGTGGAAACCTGGTTTCTTCCAACAAACTAACCATAAAGGGGAAGGAAAGTGAGGCGGGGAGGGGAGGGAGAGGAAGAGAAGGGAGGGGAAGAAGGGAAATCTGCGGATGAAAAGGGCTCTAAGACCACATCTGCCATCCTGACTCAAACAGAAAGAAACAAAAGGAAACACTGACTTATTAAGGGATTAAGGATCATTAGTGGTGAGCTAGTGTAGTTAACAACTACAGGAAATAGAATTAAAGGGGATTATGGGCACCACACTAGACTGTAAGCACCTTGGCCATGGCCCACTTGGCCCTGGGCTGTACCTCTATCTGGTGAAGGACCCTCACCCTCTCATCCCCAAACATCCTCTGGCCACGGCCATGACCAAGGAGGGACAGGAAGGCAGGTGGATATTGCCCGGGCCAGGTCAGGTAAAAACTTTGGGCCTGCCCTGGACAGCATCACAGTGGGCACGTAGGGTCCCATACATAGGTGTCCTGGTATTCCCGTGCCAAACATCAAGAGGAGGACATGGGTGGGGCAAGCCCTAGCGCAGTGTCTTGGGTTCCTGAACCCTTTCAGGCCCCCCTGGGGGCACACAAGCCCATTGGGGAGGGCAAGGACAGTGAGGAGACCTGGTGACATTCTTTTTGTCTTTGGAAGTACTGGACTTGTGTACTCAGGCCTCTGGCTTGCCAGGCAGCTCTCCACCAGCACCGGGCATCCAGCCTTTTGCTTAGTTTCTCGGGCAGGGTCTCCTCCAGGGTAGCTGGTACGATGGGCCCGAGTCAGCCACATTCCTCGTGGAATACTGGGGTGTGGCAGCACGGGAGCCAGCAGGGAGGGTGGAGGCCAGGCCCTGACACCCAGCACCACCCACAACTGGGGTGACTGAGGGAAGCAGCTTCCTGACTCACTGATAATCAGAGGTGCTTCCTGGGGACCAGCCCCTGGCCTGGGCACATGCCAGCATCCCTCAGACGCTGGGGAACTGGCCAGACTGGTGACAGTGTTCCAGTACAGCCTGAGGCCAGGCCCTCAGGGCAGAGCTCAGAGCCTGAGGGTAGGCCACCTGGCAAGTCCTTGCTGCAGAGGATCCCCCCTGGGCCCCAGGAGTGCAAATCAGTGCAAAAGGGGAGTGGGATGTCTTTAATCCAGACGGTCTCCTGGCCACCGCTGCCCCACCCACACAGAGATGCAAGGATGTCCTGTGACAGGCCTGGGGCTCTCACAGCCCTAATGTGATGGTGGCTGAAGTTATCATCAGCATCATCCAGACAGGACAAGTGACACTGCTCCTCCTAAAGAGGCCCCACGGAGGAGGGGGTGTGGGGAGGAGGAAAAGAGGACATGGCGTGAGAAACACAGCAACCAAGAGCACCAAATGGTCCTAATTAAAAGTAATTACTAAAACAATACAAAGGGCTGGGAACGTGGCTCAGTGGTAGAGTGCTTGCCTAGCATGCATGAAGCCCTGGGTTTGATTCCTCGGTACCACATATACAGA